CGGCTGCATGGGGTTCCAGGTGACAAGGGACAACACCACCACTGACACTCAGGGGCCTGGAGGAGGGAGAGCACAGGGCTGGGGACAGGGCCTGGCGCCAGGCCTCCTTTTTAAAAATAAAGTGACTCCTAGACCAGTTTTCCTTGACAGGCCCAGGTGAAGCAGCATCCATTTGTTCTTGCTAAATGTCCCATAGCCTCGCCAGCCCACAGGTCCATCTTAAAACAGGTCAGATGATGTCCCTCCCCTGCTCAGAATCCCCCAACTCCCTATAGCATGAGTAAAACCAAATGACCTGCCAAGCCCTCCACAATCAGCCCCTGTCCTCTTCCCTTTGCTCACTCTGTTCCAGCGGTTTACTGGCCCTTCCCTTCCTAGATCATGTCCAGCTCACTCTTTCTTTCATTCATTTCACCAACATTTATTGATCAGCTACTGTGTGCCAGGCACTGTTCTAGGCACCGGGGACATAGCAGTGACAAAGACAGACATAAACTGTGCTGGAGTTGACACCTGGGGAGGAAATGGCCATAAATAAAATAAACAAGATTTGAGTAGAAACTGGAGTTATGAAGAAAATGACAATAGCATTGACAGTGTGACTTGGGGAGAGTTACTTTAACGTGGGCGGTCCAGGCCTGTGGTGGAGCTGAGACAAAAAGAATGAATATATGAAAGCGGGTGCGGGTGGGAGTTAGTTTTCCAGGTGAGGGAACCGCAAGTGCAAAGGCTCAAAGGCAGAATGAGAGCGACAACCCGGAGAATCAGGGAAGAGTGTAATGACAGATAACGACTACAGAAAGGGGGGTCTTCTGGGGCCTGGAAAGCCAGGGCATGAGTGGTGTTTTGAAAGGTCCTGCGTGGGAAAAGGTGGGGGTCGGGGGAGACCTGCAAGGGGCTCCCCAGGTTCTCCATCTTATCTTTCCGGGGCTCAGCTCACATTCACCTCGTTTTCATTCCCATAACCGCCCTGGTCAAGAACTGAAATGAGCTGCTTGGCTTGCTCGTGGAGGGGCGGCCCATCGCCCTGACCCTCGCCCCGGCGCTTCGGAAGGCAGGGAGCCCCGTGCAGGTCAGGGCTACACCACCTTCTCCTGCGCCTCCCCCACGTCCAGCCCGGAACGTGCCAAGGCGCAGGGTCAGCGGGCTGCGGCTGGCCGGCTGCCCCTCCACTGTGCCCGCGGGGCGCCTCCTCCCCTGGGCCCCGGGCGCCGCGGGCCACTTCTCCCGGCCAAGGCCCCTGGCCAGTCTCTTGGTCGGTGGCCAATGGGTCCACGGTGCCCCCTGGGCCCTGGGCGCTCACAAACGCGGGGGGTGGGGGGGAGACGGACGGGACTGCGCATGCCCCGCAGGAGCCGCCACCGAAGCCCAGAGGAGGGAGGAAGTGACCCCACCGCGGCCCCGCGACTGCCTACCCCGGGGCGCAGATCCAGCCCCTCAACGTCCCGGGGTCCCCGCGCCTCGGTGGCAGCGGCGCTCCCAGGGCCCCTCGGCCGGCTCGCGTCTCTCCCGGGCAACCCCGCGAGCCGCGCCGTCCAACAAAAGGACAGGACTCGAGCCGCGCCCTCCTGGCCTCCGCCGGGCCGCGGGGACCCCGAGCGACGGGCCGGCGGGGCCGCGTCTCCCGGTCCCCCCCACCCCCACCCCGCCCCGCACGGCCGCAGAGGCGCTCCCGGCCCGCCGCGCCCGCCGCCCAGGCGCAGGCCGCGCACTCACCCCGCCATGGCTGCGCTCGGGCTCCGCCTCCGCCGCCCAGGCCCGGGCGCCTCCATCGCAGCGCGCGGGGGGGGCGGGGGGGCGCGCGGTCACCGTGACTAAGCAGAGCGGCGGCGGCGGTGTCAGAATAAAAGTCCCCGCGGCCCGGGCCGCTCCCCTCCCCTGCCCGCCGCCGTCGCCAGGCTGCACGTCCCCCGCGCGGCGAGCACGGCGTCCATCCCCGCGGCCAGCGCCGCGTGGTCAGCGCCGCGGGGATCCGAGTTCCCGGTTCGAGGCCGGGCGAGCCCTGCCGGCACCTGGACACCCTCCCTGTCGCCGCGGCGGGCGCGCTCACCTCGGCCCCCGCGTGGCCTCGCTCACGCTCGCTGCGGGGCGGGGATGCCCTGCACGTGGCGGCGGCTCCGGGCGCGGTGGTGACACCCGGGCGCCGAGCGGCCGCGGCCGAGCCGGGGGCGGCTCCCGCCCCACCTTCACCGTCGGGGACGCGGGGACCCCTGCGCTGTCGCGGGGCCTCGGCTCCGGGTCGGGGCGAGGCTGAGTCGCCGGGAAGGAGGCGGGGAGAGGGCGCGGCAGGGAAGGAGCCGAGACTCCCCGCCCTGCCCTCGGGTGCCTGAGCCCTGGGAGCGGAGCCGGCGCCGGGCGAGCGCGCGAGGCCAGGGGCGCCCCCGTTACCCCTTCGCTGCCCCTGCCATCGCCCTGTTTCCTCGCCTCAGCGCGCAGCCGCTTCGCAGCACCAGCTCTCCTGCCCTCGCGCCGGCGGCCGCAGCCAGAAACGCCCAGCCGGCCGGGCTCTCCTGGTCTTTATATTCCAGTTGCCTCCAACCTGGAGGCGCGTGGCCAGCGCGTGCGGGGGTTCAAACCCCAGCTCTGCCGCCCCCGGCTCTGTGCGGCGGGACTGAAACTTGGCCTCTCCATGCTTCAGTTTCCTCCCTGTGAAATGATAGCGAATGCTAGCGCCCAGCAGATGTTAGCTATTGCTGTTTTTTAAAAATATATTTTATTGATTTTTTACAGAGAGGAAGGGAGAGGGATAGTTAGAAACATCGATGAGAGAGAAACCTCGATCAGCCGCCTCCTGCACACCCCCTCCTGGGGATGTGCCCGCAACCAAGGTACATGCCCTTGACCAGGGTCGAACCTGGAACCCTTCAGTTCCAAGGCCGACGCTCTATCCACTGAGCCAAACCAGCCAGGGCAGCTATTGCTATTTTTCGTGCTGTTTATTTTTATTTTTTTAAATATATCTTTATTGATTTTATAGAGGGAGAGAGATAAAAAACATCAATGATGGCCGAAACCGGTTTGGCTCAGTGGATAGAGCGTCGGCCTGCGGACTGAGGGGTCCCGGGTTCGATTCCGGTCAAGGGCATGTACCTGGGTTGCGGGCACATCCCCAGTGGGAGATGTGCAGGAGGCAGCTGATCGATGTTTCTCTCTCATCGATGTTTCTGACTCTCTATCTCTCTCCCTTCCTCTCTGTAAAAAAATCAATAAAATATATTTTAAAAACAAACAAACAAAAAACATCAATGATGAGAATCATTGATCAGCTGCCTCCTGCACGACCCCTACTGGGGATGGAACCCACAACCCAGGCATGTGCCCTTGACCGGAATCGAACCCAGGATCCTTCAGTCACCAGGCTGATGCTCTATCCACTGAGCCAAACCAGCTAGGGCCATGCTGTTTATATAAAGTTAAATTTTAAGTAAATGGATTTAAGGTTTTTCATTTTTATTTAATTTATATTTTTATTGAATTCAGAGAGGACGGGAGAGGGAAAGAGAAATATCAATGATGAGAATCATTGATTGGTTGCCTCTTGCACATCCCCTACTGGGGATTGAACCCGAAACCCAGGGCATGTGCCCTGACCAGGAATCTAATGGATTACCTCCTGGTTCATAGGTTGGTGATCAACCGCTGAGCCACGCCCACTGAGCGATTTAAGTTTTTTGAAACATAAAACTAAGTGAATAATGGGAATGCTAGGCTGAACATACGTTAGTCTAAGAAAGGATTCTGCCAGCCTCCAGAGTGAATTTGGAGGATTCAACGTCCTTGCTTGGGGTCTGGGATTAAGCCCCCTCGGAGGATGGGGTGGGGTGCCCCACCACCACCACCTCCCAGTTGCATGAGTCTCCTAGTACCCCTAGGGTCCTAGTGCAGTAAGTAGTGGCACATCCATGCTGGAAAGTAATATTGTCAGCGAAAAGGAGCAAGACATTTGCTGTATGAATATTTACCTCAATATTTTAAAATGTTGTGTGTGTGTGTTTAAGAACAAGTGCTATGACTGAAACTGATTAGGTTTAAATTAGGTCGTGAGGAGGAGGCTCCCATGAGGGGATTAGTGCCCTTATAAGAAGAGACATCAGGAAGCTCCTTGAATTCTCTACACCAGAAGGCAACTGTCTCTGGCCCAGAAGAGAGTCCTCACCAGCACCCAACCACACTGGCACCCTCATCTTGGACTTCCAGCCTCCAACTGTGAGAAATAAATGTCTATTGTCTCAAGCCACCCAGGCTGTGGTGTTTGTTATGGCAGCCTGAGTGGAATAAGGCAGCCAGACAGAACAAAATCTGTAGATGGACAACAGTTTCCAAGATCTACTATTAGGTGAACAAAACAAGATGCAGAGCAGTGCTAAAATTGTATAAAAAGAGAGAAGATGTATTAACATTTCAGCTCATTTATTCACAGACTAGTGGCCCAGTGCATGAAATTCGTGCACAGGGGTGGGGGGTGTCCCTCAGCCTGCACCCTCTCCAATCTGGGACTCCTCAGGACATGTCCAACTGCCGGGACATCCCTCTCTCAATCCGGGACCGCTGGCTCCTAACTGCTCGCCTGCCTGCCTGCCTGATTGCCCCTAACCACTCTGCCTGCTGGCCTGCTCTCCCCCAACTGCCCTCCCCCACCATCCTGCTCGCCCCCAACTGCCACCCCTGTCGGCCTGCTTGCCCCAAAATGTCCCCCCCCCCCCTTGCTGGCCTGATCGCCCCTAACTGCCTCTGCCTCACCCCGCCACCATGGCTTTGTCTGGAAGGACATCTGGGAAGGTCTCCCAGTCTAATTAGCATATTACCCTTTTATTAGTATAGATAGAGGCCTGCTGCACAGGTGGGGGCCAGCTGGTCTTTCCTGAAGGGGGTCCCGGATCAGGGTGAGGGTCCCCTTGAGGGGCATGGCCAGCCTGGGTCAGGGGCTGAGGGCCGTTTTTTAGGCTGGCCACACCCGCTTCAGGGTGGGGGGTCTCCGCTGGGGGGTGGGGCCAACCTGGGTAAGGGGAGGGCTGTTTGCAGGCTGGTCATGCCCCATTGGGGTGAGGGTCCCTGTGGGGGGTGTGGCCGGCCTGGTGGAGGAGCTGAGGGGCCATTTGGGGGCAGTTTGCAGGCTGGCCAAGCCCCCGGCTTTGCCCAGAAGGGTGTCCGGAAGGTCTCCGGAAGGTCTCCCAGTCTAATTAGCATATTGCCCTTTTATTAGTATAGATAGCTCTGGAAGTTTCCCAGGAACCTCCACAGTGATCATGGCCAATGAGGTAACTAGCACTTTTTGAATTTTGTAAAATGTGAACAAACAAATCTGCCATCACATCATTAAACAACTGAACAATGGGGTGAGCTTCAGGCTCCCCTGGAAAATTAAAGGAGCCTGGGGCAAGGAGTGTTAGGCTGGGTTGGGAATTGGGTCCAGTCCTGAGACTGTGACCCCAGGCATGAGTGTGTTTGTGTTCCAAGAAATAGGTTGTTTCCTGTGTGCCTGGCCTGTCGGGGAGGCCTGAGCATGGCCCGCAGAGACTGGGCCCCCCTAGGCTGGGTTAGTGCCCCCAAAACACTTTACAGCTGCCTGAAATTCCGCTGTCTCTGGACAGGAGGCGTGTGACAGTCTGAGCTACAAGTTTCCCCATCGGGGCCCCACCTCACAGGAGTCAGGAATGCGCCTGGGGACAGCCAGGGACCGTGGCCAGCAGTCTGGAGCCTTTTATGGGCACAAATGGGGCTCTGGAATTGCCCCCCATTCCGGAGGAGCCAGAAACCCAGCCTGCACCTCTGCAGGCCTAGGAGCCTGACAGCTTGGGCGAGTGCAAGGTACTCACCGCTTAGAGTTCCCTCCCCTGTAAAACGGGGGTGGGGAAGCTCACCTTGCCAGGTTGCAGTGAGGGTGAGTAAAAGGTGTGTCCTGGACCTACCACTGTGGGATGACTAGCCAGGCACAATAAGCTGTAATTGGTCGTATTATTTTATTACATTTTTATTTTTTATGAAGGATCTGACACACGCTCAAATCTTGTTTCAGCTCAGAATTGGCTGAGTCTCCCAGAGTCCCATTGCAGGGTGCCCTGTCTTTGGTGCTCCCGCCTCTAAGCTGGAGGGAGAGCTGTCCTGGACTCCTTTCTCGCTCCCACACTCAATTCCTCAGTAATTCTGTCTGCTGTTTCCAAAATCTATCCAGAACCCACGTGGTCAGAGTCCCCATCATCACGCTCCGTGGCCAGTGCAGCCACCACCTTGTTCTTTGCCTCACACAGAGGTCTGTGAACACTGAACCAAGTCAAGCCCTTCCCTCACCGAGAACTCTCCATGGCTCCCGCCTCAAGTAGAGCAAAAGTACAGTCCTCCCCTGAGCCCACGGGCCCTGAGTGATGCGGCCAGTCACCTCCCCGCCTTTGTGTGCACGCTCCCACTCGGGGCCGTGGCACCTGCTGTCCCCTCACAGGAAACGCTCTTGCTTCAGGTGTTCAGTCATGTCTCAGCTCACAGCACATGTCACCACCTCTGCAGCGAGGCCTCCCCTGACACCATCACATCACCCATTGTCACGGGAACTATCTCCATGATTTCTTCACGCTGTTATCTCCTGTGCCCCCACCAGGACGTCAATTCCACAAAGAGTGTGGTTTTTGTCAGTTTTGTTCACTGTTGTGGGGTTTCACACCAGCCAATGAAATACCTTTCCCTGCGTCTTCTTTCTCCACCATCTTCGGCTGGGTTTCCTATAGAGTTCATTATTTAAAAAAGAAAACGTCTGCGAAACAGCTCTTAGGAAGGGCAATGGCCGGTCAGAGGGCGTCATTCTGCGGCTGGCGCGGGTACCCGGGTCCCTGGGGCTGTGGGTGCGCCGGCAGAGAGGGTTATGTCCAGCCCGTCCCGCTGGGGCAATGAGCGCTCAGAGCGGATGGAGCTGCCATCCAGGCTGGGGGGCAGCCAGTGGTGCAGGCCTTCCGAAGCCCCAGCGGCACTCCCGGATCGCGGAGAGGCTCCCGAGCCCCGGCCCCGGGGGCGCCGGCCGCAGCAGAGGAGGCGCAGGAGCCCGTGGCGCAGGTCGCGGTTGGTGAGCGTGTAGATGATGGGGTTCAGAAGAGAGTTGGCCATGGCCAGGCCCAGGAAGGGGTCGGCCTGCAGGAGCACGGGGCAGGCGCGCGCCGGGCACGCCACGTCGAGCAAGAGCAGCAAGAAGAGGGGGCCCCAACACGCCACAAAGGCCAGGAGCACTATGCTGAGAGTGCGTAACAGGGCCAGAGAGCGCGGCGTGCGGCGTGCCCGGCTCGAGGAGCCCCCAGCAGCTCGAAGGCGCCGCGTGTTGGCGCGCACCTGGCAGTAGATGCGCGCGTACAGCGCACAGATGGCAGCCAGGATGCCAAGGAAGGCGAGCACGCAGAAGAGCACGTAGGCCTTGGCGTAGAGCGGCAGGACGGTGGAGCAGGCGTCCAGGCGGCCCAGGCAATTCCAGCCCATCACTGGCAGTAGCCCGAGGATCAGCGACAGGCCCCAGGCGGCGGCCGCCAGGGCCAGCGTGCGCCCCCTTCGGGCTGCGGGCGCGGGTCCCCGGCGCGCCATGGTGAGGCTGCGCTCCAGCGCGATGGCCAGGAGGCTCAGCACCGAGGCGGCGAGCGCCACAAAGACGCCGCCCTCTCTTGCGAACCAGAGCGTCGGCGACAGGCGCAGCGTGAGCGGCCCGGACAGCAGGATGTTGGCGGCATACGCAGCGCCCGCCAGTAGGTCAGACAATGTGAGGCTGCCCAGAAGCAGGAACATGGGCGCATGAAAGCGCGGGTGGCGTCCGAGCACGAACAGCACAGCCAAGTTCTCCAGCACGATGAGCGCGCACACGGCCAGGCAAACGACGGCGTCGGCGCGCAGCCCCGCGCCCGGCTGGTAGCGGGCGCCGCGGAGCTTGCCGGTGTAGTTGTAGTGCAGGACGATGACCTCGCTCACCGGCGCAGGGCGCAGCAGCCCCGACTCCATGGGCCACCGCCCCGAGGCTGCGGAGAGGCGGTGCAGTGTCAGGCTTGGCGCGAACCATCCTCGCTGCCAAAGGGGCGAGGGGCCCTAACCCACTCCCCTCCACCTCCCAGGTACACTGGGGAGCAGGGGGAGTTCCGGATGGAAGGGGGATGGCCATGGTGACAGGCCGACACAGAAATAATAATAGGGAACAGGGTGACACAGTCCCACAGTGCCTGAGGGATACTCATAACTCGCACATCATCGAGATAACCAGAAGTATATTCAATCGTAAACAGAATGCAGCACACAAATACAGCCTCACATAGGAAGGGACACACAAATACAGTGACACACCGACAAGGATATATATGTACACGGTCACAAACGAGGGCAAAAATGGTCAGATCCCATCTGAAAAACACACAGAAATGCATTCATCCGTAGATAAAGCAACACGCAGAGGCATACAGCAATACCAACAGCCACACAGGCCACAATTTCACAACCTCCACCCATGCTCAGCCTGGAGCCCTGAGCTGCACACAGGGCTTGTTCCTGCCCTTTCACCCACCGCAAAAACCCGTGAGAACGCTGAGCCATCGGCCCATTTCACAGAGCCCGAGCCCGAGGGCAACCGACAGGCCCACAATGCACGGGTAGCGCCAGCAGACAGGCACACGTGTCATGAAAGCATGATAATGATCCCCTGCGCCTGGGCCCTTTAATCCCCTGGACGACTCTCACCATAGCCCCGTGTACAGACGAAGACACTGAGCGGAAAAGAAGTGCCTCGCAGAGAAACAGACACAAAGGTGTTCGTGCTCCCACACAAGCACAGCCACGCGGAAACGGCTACACACACAGTCGCGCAGGTCCCATTTCACGGATGAGAAAACTACGGCCTGGGGACGGGAACCGACTTGTTTGGACCTGGCTGGGTCCAGTGCCTGCCAGGCGGCCTCAGTTGTGCACAGGGAAGCAGGCACAAATACAGACCCACGGAGAGGCTGGGGCTCCGTCCCGCTGCGGGGAGCGGGCATCAAACACACGCAGACACGGGCTGCCCTTTCTCTGACGGGGACTCGGCAAACAGGCTCCCAGCCCCCGCACCTCCCGCCTGGCCCCGGCAGGCAGGCAGCGGTCCTCAGGTAGGGAAACTTGCAGGGCAGTGACCAGAAAGGACAAGGCCTGAGGGTTCCAGGCGTGTCCCCCCCTCCCCCCCCCCCCGCCCCAGCCCGCGCCAGCATCCATGCAACGACACCGGCAAAGTCGCTGGCTTTCTCCGCCTCCAGGAGAGGCCCGGGCACTCCAAGGAAGGGGACCCGCGGAGTGGCCAGAGCAACCTTTCCGGGCCAGACCAAGCCATGCGCGTCCCAAGGGCCCAGTGCTGTGCACTCACCCAGCGCCTTGTCCGTGCGCCCCCCGCAGTCGCGCAGCCTGGAGCCCAGAGTTCGGGTGCCGCTCGTGGGGGCGGGACTGAAGACGGCTGGCGGAAAGGGGGGTGGGGGTGGGGGGAGACTGGCCCTCAAAGCCGAGCTAAGGCGGTCGCCAGCAATTGCCCCGCCCCTTGGGCTGCCAGCCTGTGCCATCCGCTCCAGCATCAGAGCGCGTCCCGGCGGCGACTGGCACCGGCGAGCCCTCGGCTGCCCCTTCCGGACCTGGGGCGCTCAGGGACGCTCCGTCGCGGTGGGAGGACCTGGAGACCCTGGAAGGGGGAGGGTTCCCAGCGGGGCAGCTGCAGCCTCTTCTCACCGCCCCCGCCCCCCGCCTCCTCCCCAGTCACCACCGCAGAGGGATCCCATCGGTGGCTGGGTTCCTGGGCACTGGTCCCTCCCGTTTCCCGCTTACCTTCCACCTGACCCTGCAGGACTGGACCCGAGAACGCCGGGTCTGGGAGGGACCCGGGCAGCGCGGGTTAGGAAGGGGCTCCTGCGGGGCGGCCGGAGCCCGAGTCCCCTCCCGGAGCCCGAGTCCCCTCCCGGGGCACATAGGTCCCGGCAGCTCCACCCGGGCTTGGGGCCTCCGAGGGCGGGCAGCGCAGGAAGGATTCTTGTGGGAACATCCGCCCCCCCCCCCCCCATAAGGAGGATGTGGGTCCTGCGCCCCCTGGTTACTCCATCCCCTACCCTTACTGTTCCTAAAAATGGGACTTACTCATCTATGGTTCCTCTGGGCTGAGTCCCCACCAAACTGCCAGCCCCAGGGAGCAGTGATTTGAGTCCGTCGTGTATCCCCCCAGTGAGTGAGAGAGAGAGTGAATGAGTGTATCTTGTACACTTTCTCTGTGTGTCTCTCTCGCTGCTTCTCTCCCAGTTTCCAACCGTGTGTGTGTGTGTGTGTGTGTGTGTGTGTGCGCGCGCGCGCGTGTGTGTCGCTTTCCCACGCCTCTTCCAGGCTTCCGCTCCTTCAGCGGGCCAGTCCCAGCTGGCCCCGCACCCCCAACCCCCCCCCCCCCCCCGTTCCCAGGAGCTCCCTGGCCGGGCCCAGCTCCCTCACCCTCAGACCAGAGGCCAGAGCCCGGAAGGGGGGCTGGGCCTGGCGGTCCCAGGACCGTGCCCTTTGCCTCGGCTGCTGCAGCCTCTGCCGGCCACAGGGGCGATGAACTTGAACGGGAGGCTAAGAATGGGGTGGATCTTAGACGTCCGGGTAAGGGACGGAGAGGGACACGCAGGCCAGGGTGCGACCCCAGGTAGCCCCTGGCAGAATCCCGGGCTCCTGTCCCCCCTGTTCCGAGACAGAGCGCTCCTGCCCGCTCTGACCAATCACAGCGCGCGCGGGCGGCACAGCGGGTACTGCCGATAGGGGGTGGGGGTAACCCTGTGCACAGCGAGTGCCTACAGCCTGGCGACCTAGCCGGCTGGAAGGAGCCTGGAAAAATACCCGCACGCAGCAGAACCAGCCCCGCATGCAGCAGAACCAGCCCCGCGCGCAGCATAACCAGCCCCGCGCGCAGCAGAACCAGCCCCGCATGCAGCAGGTTCTCCGTAAGTGACCCTCTGCAAGGGGAAGCTGCAGCCTGGTGGGAGGGTGGCTGCTTCACACCTCCCAGGCAGCAATCTCACCTCCAATGGCTCGCTCAGAAGTGGAGGGAGCCTCTTCCTGCTGCGGTAGGTCGGTGGGTAGGGGCCCAGCACCTCCCACTCCTGCCTCCTCCGGGCGCTGCTTTCTCTGGGGCCCAAAGGAATGGGGCTCCCAAGACTGGGCCAGATGTCAGGAACCTCCTGGAGGATCTGTGCTTCCACCCTACACCCCGTTCCATACCTGCAGCCAACAGCTCTTAAAACTCAGATCACACCCCTTCCCTGCTCCAGACTCTGCCCGGGCTCCCCATGTCGCTTTGAGTAAACATCCAGCCCTAGTCAGGGCCCATAAGGCCCTGCACAGTCTCTCCTCCTTCCTTCTCCAGAACTGCCCCCCCTTACTCCCAGCCCCACTGGCCTCCCCGTTCCTCACATACTCCAAGACCTTGGTACTTGGGAAGAAGTCTGCCCGAAGCACCCTTCTTCCAGCCCCTCCAGGCTGGTCCCTCCTCCTCAATCTCACATGACAGCACCATCTGAAATTACACTGTTTTTTTTTTTTAATATTTTTTTATTGATTTCAGAGAGGAAGGGAGAGGGAGAGAGAGAGAAACATCAATGATGAGAGAATCATTGATTGGCTGCCTCCTGAATGCCCCCTATTGAGGATCAAGCCCACAACCTGGGCTTATGCCCTTGACCGGAATCGAACCCGGGACCCTTCAGTCCACAGGGCAACGCTCTATCCACTGAGCCAAACCGTCCAGGGCTACATTGGTTATTTGTTTCTTCTTCTGGTACATCTGTGCCCTAGATCCCCAGCTCCAGGGAGGCAGGGACCCTGTGTGTCTCTCTGCCCAGCTCTCATGTAAATATTAAGGTCTGGGAGTCTGGAGCCAGACTCAGCTGAATTGCTGCCCCTCTGAGCCTTGGTGGACTCATCTGTAAAATGGAGATGACAACGGCCCCCGCTCTGCATGTTGTTGCGAACGGAAGCAAGACGGGAGCAGAGCTGGGATGTGCAGTAAGAGCCCAACGTTAGCTCCCAGCTCCCGTGCTATTGCTCACCGCTGTATCCTCACAGAGGCATTAGGAGGGGACTCAGCCCAGGCCCCATCAGGGCCCCAGGCAACACCAGCTACCCAAACCACACCCACCCCAGCCCAGCCTGGTCCCTTCTCCGGAAAAGGCAGCCCTGGCCTCAAATCCTGCCACAACCCATTTGCCTAATGCATGCCTGGGCCGGCACACTCGCCTGGCAGGTTCTGCTGCCAGGGCTCTTGCCTGGAGAGGACACCTCACCCAGTGTTCGCCGTTCTCACTGAGCCGTGTCTGCACCTCTGAAAGGGCCAAATGCCTCTCATGCTCCTCTCCAACCCCCACCCATCGAGAGAATCAGGGGACTGCAGCAGAGGTCCCCACCCGCCTCCTCCACCCTCCACCAACCCGTCCTGAGGCCGGTGAACGTGGCTGCACCAGGGTGTGAACTGACAACCAGAGCAGGCATGAGGGTCTCAGAGTGGAGGCCAGAGGGCCAACTCCAGCTCACAACCACAGCTTTGCTTGCTTAGCTTAGATGTTTCCTCTGCATTGTACAGAAACAGTGGACAGTCAGTACATTTGTTTCTCGGGGGCTAACAGTTCTGGATCTGCTTCTATGCGAGCCTTGAACAAATAGTCCACATGCTGTAGACACTGACGGCCAGATTTCATGGGTAACTAAATTACAGATAAGCGATGTGGTGCTAGACTGGGGTTATCAGCATGACATGTTTATTTTTAATAGGCACAAAAATAAATACAGATATGTGTGCATGCATGGGTTCTGACACACACACACATATTTCCTAGCTCTGTCTGCCCCCAAAAGCAGTGACATCCTAGTAGCAATGAGTAAACTCACCGCCCAGATCTGGGTTTCTAGAACCAGGGCTCCTCAGAGAAATGGCTGACTCTAGGGTTGGGTCAGAGAAAATGCAAACTGATCTTGGAGCATCTTCCAATGCCAGAAAGTGCTTTAAAAAAGAAAAAAGCCAAAGGACATAGGAGCCAGCATGAAAGAACTCCCACTGGCCACAGCTGGGACAATTTGAACAAGAAAATAAATACCAACAGTCTTGGATTATAACCCAAATAATAAGATAAATTAGCGCAGTTCATACTGATTTAAAGACATTATTGAATCGATTTAAAAATGAGGGAGAAGGGACAAATTATCCTGAGAGCAGAATTCTAATACAGTGGGGCCTTGACTTACGAGTTTAATTCTTTCCGAGACCGAGCTCGTTAAGGAGCTCGTTAACTCAAATTACTCTATCAACTCAATGCAAAAAAATCCGCCGAGAGACAGCTGGTATCTCAAAAAACTCATTAGTCGGGACACTCATAAATCAAGGCCCCACTGTATAGAAATGTAAAATGAATGATGAAAATAGAAAATTAACATTAGACCCTGCTGGAGTGACTCAGTGGTTGACCCATAAACCAAGAGGTCACTGGTTCGATTCCTGGTCAGGGCACATACCTGAGTTTTGGGCTCAATCCCCAGTGGGGGTCGGGGGGTCGGGAGGAAGGGGGCGTGCAGGAGGCAGCCGATCAATGATTCTCTCTCATGGATGTTTCTATCTATGTCTCTCCCTTACCCTCTCTTTAAAATCAATAAAAACATATTTTAAAAGAAAATTAACATCAGAGCACCACTATAATAATCGCTGCACATAGACTGTACTGATTAACGGAAAAGGTAATAGGCCAACCTTTAAAGAGAAGCAGGACATTTGCATAGCATCAAAGTTTCTCCCCCAGAATATTATTAGTCACCTTGGTAGCCTTAATCTTTTTTTTTTTAAGTATATTTTATTGATTTTTTACAGAGAGGGAGGGAGAGGGATAGAGAGTCAGAAACATCGATCAGCTGCCTCCTGTACTCTCCCTACTGGGGATGTGCCCGCAACCAAGGCACATGCCCTTGACAGGAATCAAACCTGGTACCCTTGAGTCCGCAGGCCGAGGCTCTATCCACTGAGCCGAACCGGTCAGGGCAAGTAGCCTTAATCTTTGTGCACAAATTCTTGAGACTCCTCCCTTAAAGTGGTGGAGTGCAGCTCCCCTCCCCTTGCGCGTGGTGCCTTCCACACAAAAGCCTGCACGTGGTGTGCTAGCCACTTTGTCCATCATTGCCAAAACTTAAAAGAAGCCAAGCTGTCCTTCCGAAGGGGAGTGGATGACTAAATTGTGGCACATCCATCCAGGCCATGGAATATTTATTTAGCAAATAACAAAAGAAGTGAGGTTTGCTCTGACAGGTACTTCATTTGGTTAGAGCATTGTCCAGCTAGGTCAAGGTTGCCGATTCAGTCCTCACTCAGGGCACATACAAGAATCAACCAATGGCCCTAACTGGTTTGGCTCAGTGGATAGAGTGTCAGCCTGCGGACTCAAGGGTCCCAGGTTCGATTCCAGTCAAGGGCATGTACCTTGGTTGCGGGCACATCCCCAGTAGGGGGTGTGCAGGAGGCAGCTGATCAATGTTTCTCTCTCATCAATGTTTCTAACTCTCTATCCCTCTCCCTTCCTCTCTGTAAAAAAATCAATAAAATATATTTTTAAAAAAAGAATCAACTAATGAATGCATAAGCAAGTGGAACAACAATGTCTCTCTCTCTCTCTCTCAAATCAATTTTTAAAAATAGAATAAAAATAAAATCAATAAGTTAAAAACCACTTTAAAAAGAAATGAGCTTTCAGGGGGAAAGAGGGGAATACTTCCTACAATAAAGATAAAAATTTTTAAAAGAAGGAAATGAGTTTTCAAGCCATGAAAAGACATGGCGGGACCATACATGCATGTTGCTAAGTGAAAGAAGCCAATCTGAAAAGACTACACACCACATGATTCCAAGTCTGTGACATTCTGGAAACGGTACAACTATGGAGACAGTAAAAAGATCAGGGGTTGGTGGGGTTAGGGGTGGGGAGGGATGAACAGGCAGAGCACATGGGATTTTTAGGCTGTGAAACGACTCTGTATGATGCTGTCATGGTGGATACATGTCATTACACATTTATCCAAACCCACAGAATGTGCAAACACCAAGAGTGACCCCTCATGTGGACTGTGGACTCTGGGTGGTGATGTGCCAATGTGGGCTCATCAGTTGTACCAAGTGCACCACTGTGATGTGGGGTGTCCGTGGTGGGGAAGGTTGGGGGGGACAGGTATATGGGAAATCTCTACCTTCTGCTCAATTTTACTGTGAGCCTAGAACTGCTCTACAAATAAAGTTTATTAATTTTTTTAAAAAATAGGTAAAAATGTCTGCTAGAGAGGTCCTCGAGGGGGCAGACTCCCAGGCCATGCCACCTGGTGGCCTTGGACATTTGCAGCGCCGGCCTGGCCCCTGAGGTGACTTGCGTTTCAGACGCCTGGTGCAGACGCCAGGAGCGTGGGTTCTGGAGCAGACAGGTGGCAGGAAAGTCAGTTTTCTAAACTGCCCTGAGCCTCAGGGTCCACAGCTGTCCCCTGCCAATAAGAGGCTCACATTTTAGTAGGATATAAAAGGAATCCCGACAGAAGGAGATAACGCCCTGGCCCTGGTCGGATAGTTGAGTCGGTTAGACCTAGAGCATCGTCCGGATACCTCAAGGTTGAGGGTTCAGTCTCCAGTCAGGGCACACACAAGAATCAACCAATGGCCCTGGCTGCCTCGGTCGGTTGGTCATTGTCCCATGCACCAAAAGGTGTCACCTGGATTCCCAGTCAGGGCACATGCCTGGGTTGTGGTTGAGGCCTCCATGCCCGGTAGGGGGCGTGCAGGAGGCAGCCAATTGATGTTTTCCTCTCACATTAATGTTTCTCTTTCCCTCCCCTCTTCCTTCTTCTCTCTAAAAAATCAACTAAAAGTCTTTTTTAAAAAAAGAACCAACCAATGAATGCATAAATAAGTGGAGCAACAAACTGATGTCTCTCTCGGGCTCCCTAACTTTCTCTCTCTCTCTCTCTCTCTCTCTCTCTCTCCCTCTCTCTCTCTCTCTCCCTCCCTCTCCCTCCCTCTCTCTCTCTCCCTCCCTCTCCCTCCCTCTCTCTCTAAAGTCAATAAATAAAAAAGGAAGATAATTCCGCATAGTGATATTTGCTATAAACAAATAAAATATCATAATGTGATATGCCAGTGACGGGATTATTTTAGATTCAGAGCGGAGGGAAGGCCTCTTTGAAGACATGAAATGAGCTGAGATCAGAATAACAAGAAAGCTATAGGAAGGGTGTTTCTGGCAAAGGAATCAGCATGAGCAAAGGCCTAGTGTACTCCCTTTTATCTTAGTTTTTTTAAAATATATTTTTATTGGCTTCAGAGAGGAAGGGAGAGGGAGAGATAGACAGGAAGATCAATGATGAGAGAGAATCATGGACTGGC